GGATGATGCTGGGAATTTATGAATTTCGCTTTGTCGGATGGGAACAACATTGTTTTATGTAGATGATGAAGGAAAAAAATGTGCCAACAGTAAAGTTGGTAGCAATCAGTATTATATGTACAGGGTGTTCGCAAAATGCGTTAGGAAATTTTCAAGGGTGATTCCACAGGTTCAAATAACAGTAGTAAGTCATGTAGCAAACAACAATTCGAAATCGGAATATTTTCCGAGTTACAGCTCTTCAAACTTGATTTTTTTTTAATTTTTGACCGCTAGAGGGCCAATTGCAACAGTAAGTTTTAAAAACGGATTTTTTGCGGTTTCAGATGGGTTAAGGTATGTTGAAAATATTTTAGTTCTATTCCTGAGAGACTTTGACTTCTTTTTTGTTGGAGTTTTATTTTTCTAGCTGGTCAAATAAAGTGGCGGGGGAAGGCCAAACAATGGTTCAAAAAGTTATTGATAGCGCCGTGTTGGCTTAACAAATTGCAGTTTATTTGCGATTGCAAGCTCTTTATCTATCCTTAACATCTCCTGTAAAATATTCGCCCGTATGATTACAACTTTAGCCGCCAGAGGGCACGCTATAAAAGTCGCCAAACCTGGACCAATAATTTGGCTCCCAATTGTTCCGCACCACACATTGACACTAAATCTAGATAGTGGATGCTTCCTGTAGTCCGTAATCGTTGAACAAGACGAGTAAAAAATCTGCATTTATATCGGTGTCTCCCCGGGAAATGCGCCGCATACACTCTTGAAGCAGCAAGTGTCAAGAATTATTACGAGGTCGAAAAGACGACAACGACGGCGTCTCGGGTGTCAATCCGTCAGATGCGAATTATAAAAAGTAAAAATTAATAACCTGAAAAGATCTAAATAGTCTAAACCGACGTAAATTAAATTAACCTACATGCTAGGTATTGAAGGAAACAATTTTCAATAACTTAAAGTGTTTTGCGCAGTTTGTCAAATTGCAGTTGATCACCCGTCGGGCTGTCAAATATTGCGACACTTAGAAAATGAATGGGAAATTCAAAATTTAATTAAATCAATTTAGGCCATTATCCGTGAAAGTAGAAAAAAGAATGTAGTATTATTATGATTACTAATATTACTAACAGCATGTGAGGAAAAACTCTATTACTATCCAGTGGCGCACGCCTACTCTCTACTAGTTTATAGGAAATGCTACACTAAGAGCCGTTTCACACTGGCCACTCTTCAGCGCTTCTCAGTCGCGCTGTGTGAACAGGCTCTTACTTGGCAGAAGCTGAAAGACCTCACGCCAACAAATGGCGAGGAGAGTGGTTCCAGGAAGATAGTGGATGACAATAGATGTTTGGGTTCCAAACACAGAGGAACAAGTATTGGACATAATTCCGGAAGAGCCTTTCAGAGGCACTCACAACGTTGCACAACAACTGACACTTTCCCAGGCACCAGGTAAATACCAGCTACATTCCTACCATGTATGTAAGATCACATTAAACCAATGGATTACCGAACACCGGTACAAATTGACCAGGAGTTAATTAACCGAATACGAGAAGCTGCTCAAGAAGAGTACATAATAAGGTGATTACACAGGCACTAATTTGCAAACAAGAATAGAACAAGTAGAACAATATCACTCCCACAAAAAATAAATGCAATTCTCTCAAGAATAGAATGAAAGTATTTCCTTAGCCTGCCTTAAACCCGTATTTAATACTTATTGTTGCCATTTCGCCCTCTAGCGGCCATTTTCCGAAATTGAAAGTAATATTAATAAGGTATCAAACCGGCAACGCGGTAATGAGTCTCGCTACCCAATCAGCCGGGACTGGCTTGACGGTTAGGAAAATTGTCTACGCCCAGTACATGGAAAACAGGTGTTGTGGTTCTGCAAGTGTTGAATATCTTGAGTGTTGAAGTGCAATTCTTAGGCAGTCAGGTAATAGCCGGTGTTGGGGAGTTCTAGACAGCCCCAACTCAACGATAATCATGGAATTTTAAGAAAACATTGGCTTGAAGTAGCCACACATAGTACCGGTAAATTTGATCTGGTCTCCAGCCTCCATTTTCGTTTCAAAATACATATACAGCCTCTCTCTAAATAGCCTCCTGGTCATGAATTCCAGGTTGTCTTTATATTGTGCTGTGACGACATGATCTGTCTGTCGAATCGGCATAATATCAGTTCCCATTCTAAAGCACAAGAAAATAGAAAAATAATAGTGAGGAAACGCGTAATAGGTTTTCTCAATTTCATTATGCTCAAAACAAGTATCCAGAGAGGGAGGAAACACCTGCTATGCACTTCGGTATTCACCAATACGGTACACATCAAACCTGGAGAGGCGAACACAGTCCCTGGAAGGCTGGACAAAGTTACAAACCCCATTAGAAACCTGCTGACAGCTGGTATGTTATGGAGATACAACAAGTTATGAAGTGGACACCAATCGAAAAAAGAAAGAAAGGAAGACCGAAGGCAACATGAATGGGTGGAACACAAAAATTTGCCAGCGAGATGAAAGCAGGCCACGTTTGACAGAGAAAGTGCAGTATATAGAATGTTTGCCTTAAAGAACCGAAGTGTGAGGGGAGAAACCTGCAACCAAGGGAATGGGGGAATATAGAAGACAATCCCGATAAACCAGTGCCTTTTGTTACATATCGGACTATTGTTTCTAACAAATTTAACATCAGTTTTGGCTATCGGAGCTGGGGTACCATTTTACCACCAAAATCAAGTCTTCAAATTTAAAACTTGCCCCAAATGCAAATGAGGGTGTACAAAACATAATTCATAAAAAGAAGGAGGATGTCATTTACTGCAGAAAGAGAGATGAGGGAAAACATAGCAGACAAGTGCAGAAGACTCGAGGACACCGTGAGAGACTGGAATGGTTTTTTTGAGTTTCATACATCCCCTTTTCATCAAGGCCTGCGGGAGAAATAGAAGCAACTGCAGAACATCTAAGAGTGAAACGGAACCGTGATAGTTATAATGGAAATTGAGTCTACTCCATACTAAGCCCAACTTCAAGGGCATTCGAGAACCTTCATTAGTAGAAACTGATTTTTTCTACTCACCAAGAGCTTGATTGATCATGTTTTTAGGTCAAATTGCTATAACGAAAGAGCAGTACCAGAACTTGGAGGACCTTACAAAATTTGTGCAAGATCAAATGTGCTGCAAAGAGATTCTACCTAGCTGATATTAATGAGACAAGCATGTGGCAACGGTGAAAACACGCATTCGGTTTGTGTATAAAGTTCAAAAAGGTTGTTGCGTTTTTTTGCACGATCTGAGGCTACATACAGGCAAATGTAAAACCTCGGACAAAACGGCAAATCTTGACACACATACTTTATTCTGTGTCATTTTTATATGCATCATATACCGGGTGATTCAAAATTGGCGTCATTCCTCTGGACGTGTTGTCTGACGGCGTTTTAGGAGTACAGCAAAAATAGTAAAAAAAAATTATTGAAATTAAAAAGTGAGAAATTTGAAAAACTATATTAGAAAGACGGCAACAATGTTGCAATAAATAGAGAAAGTGACAATAAGATAGACAAGGATGAACGGTAAATTCAACAGGAATCGTTGAATGACAGAACTCATGATCTAAAAACAAACATACATTTGAGTCTCCAATAAGTGCCAAACAAGTGCTTGTGCACCTTGTTATCCACTCTTCTCAAGCAGCTTACATACGTGGTAAGAATGTAGCCGGTATTTCTTTGGTGCCTGGGAAAGTGTCAGTTGTTGTGCAATGCTCTTCTGGAATTATGTTCAATACTTGTTCCTTTGTGGAACCCGAACGTCTACTGTCTTCCACTGTCTTCTTGGAGGCGATCTTCAGTACCTCTAGCCCTTTGTTGGTGTGATTCCCCATAACTACTCGCATATCAGCAAATTCGTAAAAAGAGCTTCAAAGTACGTCACAGTTTGACAAATTATTGTTATTATTGACAAGGGCTATCCACCTGTAACTATCTGTTGATGACAAAAAACATGATTGCCGCTTTGACTTTTCATCAAAAAATTGTAGTAGAGAACTTTTTTAATATCAAAAATATTCGTAATTTGACGCAAAGATATTCCAATATGCTACCAATTAAACACGGGACACTTTCAAAATAATGCTTAATAACACAGTTGAAATTTGCGATTTTCAACTGTTAATATATTCTAGAAATTATCGAAAAAAAAGTCAATATTTTCCTCTTGCTCTCCAAGTGCGCCCCTATTACCCCTTAAAAGGAATGACGCTAATCTTGAATCACATATATAACAAAACATTACAAATCACAGGTATTGTAAACCGAGCACTTTAAATGTGTGAATTATTTAATGGCCATTTCGACCGAAATATACAGGGTGATTTAGCCGAAAAACAAGCCACTTATTTATGCGCCAAAATGAGATTGTGCGGTTTCGCTGCTTAATCGTGTTTTTCGTTTCAACAATTCATAACTCCACATGCAAAATTGTTGCTCAGATGTTTGGGCATCTCTTCTAACGTCGCCAAGTGATTGAGGTGATCTAGCTAAACCCAACTAAATATATAAAAAGTAAAAATTAAGAGCCTGAAAAGACCTAAATAATTTAAACCGACCCAAATTGAATTAACCTACATGGTAGGTACTGAAGGCAACAATTTTCCATAACTTAAAGTGTTTTGCGCGGTTTGACAAATTGCAGTTGATCACCCGTCGGGCTATCAAATATTGCGACACTTAGAAAATGAATGGGAAATTCAAAATTTAATTAAATCAATTTAGGCAATTATCCGTGATAATAAAAAAAGAATGTAGTATTTTTGTTTATGTGGCATTATTACTACTAATTGGGCAGAAAGACCGATTGGGTCGATAGCCTTTTTCTGTAGAAAACAAAGATTATTTATAATAAATTATATTATATATATAAGCGGATCTGTGGAAAAACTCTATTAATATACAGGGCGCACGCATGCTCTCTGTGATCCGAGAGCAGTCTTTGGCTGTTGCTGCATAGAAGCCGGTAACAATTTCAGTTGTGGACAGCGCGTTATAGCATTGTCGACGTCAAATTTCATTCGGGTCCGCAACAAGTGAAGACGTCGACGTCTCGTTAAAAAACTTTTTTTTCCTACCTAAGGATGTATACAAAGTTAACCGAACCAATCAAGAAAATTGACGTAGTTCCGAGAGTTTTTATAGTGCTTACATCTGACATTTCGTTCGTGCTTCATATTCCGTGCGTGAGAAAAAAACTGTTTAATTGAATAGTTGGATGAGCTGGGTTCTGTATACGTCCAGCTGCCCACTAACATTCAGCTGGAACCTCCTCCGTCTTACCAACAAGGTAAATAGTCTCCTGGCTTCCCTTCTGCAATGGCATGTTTGTGCCAGGTTTCTGGGTGTTGGATCAAATATTTCTACCTCGTGATGGGTGCATGGTGTATTTATTTTATTATATTATATATGTGGAATACACCAGTTATACAAACAGAATATATCTTAGGTGGCAATGTGCAAAATCCGGCATTCTGCAAACTGACCAACTCGAACTCGCCAAGCATTTTGCAGAGTCGATTACATACAATTATTACTACAATATATATAGGATTCAAATATTCGAGAATTCAACAAATATTGGAGTAGTAGACAACTAGTGAAAAAAAATCATCATCAAATCATTCATCGGGAGATCAACATGATTTCAATGTGATGATCAAAGACCATGTGAATATCCAGGATTCTTCACAGCCACCTGCTCTAAAAATTTTCATAGCATGTGGATCATAGATAACATGTGCATGCACATCGAATTCCTTTAAGTCTCAATTTAATGCCAATACACAGAATAAACAGATTCCTTATAATATAAGGAAACGTAGAATAAGAATAATTTATTTTATTATATTATTATATATTTTTTATTATAAAAGTATACAAAGTGCATATACGCACCTTCGAATATTCGAATACTCAAATTTAATTCCGAGCCCTTATCTAGAACATCATTGATAAGTACAAAACAGTCGGACGATAATGCGATTGACTTGCAAATTGGGGCACGTTGTACTTTAATGGTACGCAAACACTGCGTAGACTCTTTTCACTTTCACCAATGGTACCACATGTTTTTTGCTGTTCCCTAATGGGCGCAGATTTTACGTCGTTACATTTTCCTCAATCAAAGGATTTTTCAAATTTGGGTTCCTTAAGGTCTCCTAAGCATTGGCCGGGAATTGCATTTTCCTATGTGTCCTTTGATGATACCTAGAACATAATAATTAATACATCAGTCAGACAAGGCCTTCTTCAAAGTTGGCTGAATTGGAGTCAGCCTGCATCTTAATGTTCTCTAAGTGTTCAGTCAAAATATCACCCTCCGATGAGCAAATCAAGACCAATACTTGCATAGTCTTGGTCTTGCGAGTCTTTCTTTTATCTAGTGAAATTAGACGGAATTAATTTAATGATAACAAGAATAATAATTAAATTAAAAGATAATAATCATCAATACCGAACGATAAACAAATATCCAAAGTCAGAATAGTCAGTCAATTTATGTCTTTACCATTGACATTTTTTCGCCTGCTTAGGCGTAAGGGTAATAAGTAATTGCTTGTTGTAAGGGTTTTGAAGAAACGAAGTCAGCTTGTTTTATTTCATGCAAAGTTCCTTTTTTTGAACTTCTTATGGCACGGTGTAAGTTATCGGAATGCGTTACCGCGCCGTTATTTCAGGCAAAATACGCAAGTCTTGCAGGTGGGTACCCCGGATTAAACAGATCGGTAGATGCATTAGTTTACGTTTTTTGATGGGATTAACAAGGGTTCACAGTCATATCAAAAGTAGGTACTCATGAAAAGTGCTTTGCCGGTTCGGCAATCAATTTGATGTACAGGGTGATTTAAAAAAAAAGGTGTCTTGGAGTACAGAAAAACTTATTTAAAAGATTAATTGTTATTAAAAACTCCGGTAACCACAAATGCACATGAAGCAAAGAAAATAAGAGACAATACCATGCGTTGAGGTTAGGATAACGATTGCGGTCGGCAGATATCTTTTTCTTAACGGTCCACACCAGTCCTGGCTGATTGCGCGTGCGCGTCTCATTGCCGCGTTGACAGTTTGATACTTCCTATTGCGAACGAAATTATAACCTCACAAAAACACGGTTCCTTGTGCATTCCAGCACCTTTTTAGTTCACTGGCTGTTGCTGAAATTCATGCTAATTTCATCGTTAGTGATTTCGTTTTGGAAAGATTTGGATTCTTGGAGTTTTAGTAGTCATGGATCTTGTTTGTTTTTTTATTGTTTTCTGCTTTCTAAAATAATGAACAGATATATTTAGAAGTTGTCTATGATCTTCACTTTAATTATATACATGATTGTGGAAAATCCGAAAACTATGCAGCATAACTTTTTAATAAAACATTAATCATACAGCTATCTAAAAAAAAAATAAACGACTTTTTCTGAGGTTAGGCGTCGCTATTTGATCAAGACCAGGCCGTTAAAAACCAACATAGCGGCAACATGGAAGTGAGACACGCAAGCGCAATCAGCCAGTACTGGTGTGGACGGTTAAGAAAAAAATATCTGCTTGCGGACAGAACAGCCGCCCGAGTGCTGCCATCATATGGGGCAAATGAGTGATATACCTAAATTGGTCACAACTGTCATCCAAAACCACCTGTTAAGGGTTATGTATCATTGATCAAATAAAATACAATTCTGTTGTTAAAACACAATTGTTCCCAAGAGCAAGAAGTCCTGCCCGTTTCACTCAACATCTTTGTGTCCCAATAACTTTGAGTCTGGGCTCATATTTTGAGCAGCTTCTCGTATTCGGTTAATTAACTGCTGCTCAATTTGTACCGGTGTTCGGAAGATCAGAGAATTAATGTGGTCTAATGTCCTGAGTATATTACATACATGGTAGGAATGTCGGCCCTTCATCGGGGGAGTTATCGAGACAATTAAGTATCCGGTGTTTGAAAAAGTGCAGTTGTGTAATGCTTCAAGTACTCCTGGAAGGCTCAGCTGCAATAATTTCTAATACCTGTTCCTCTAGGTCTGGAAACCGAGCACCTTTAGATTGTCCACTATCTGCGTCCATCTCAGGCCACTCGTCTAGTGTGTAGCTCTTTGCTGGTGTGAGTTCTTACAGCTTCTGCTATGTTACTGTGGCATTTTCCCACGACTAATCGCATACTCGCAAATTTGCTGTTGGTTTACATTTTGTGAAAGAAGCTTCAAAATAAGCCACAGTTTGACAAATGCTTGTTATTATTGACAAAGGCTGTCTACTTGTAACTATTTGTTAATGACAAAAAACATCATTGCCGCTTTGACTTTTCATCAAAAAATTCTAGAAAAGGACTTTACAAAGAAAATACGCGTTATCAAAAAAAAATTGCAAGCCATATTTTCAATAAATATAAAAAATTGAGTAGTTTTTGGGTGTAAAAGCATGACTAGATAAGTAGCCATTATTATTAAGTAGTTTATTTTACATTAAAATTCTACTGGTGAATGTTGA